TGATGGCCCAAGATGACACAGAGGGAGGGAGGACACAATAGCCTGGAAGGGAAAGGGAAGCCCGCTCTTTTGGTGATGCTCCTACTGGAGGCAGAGGTGTAAGAGAAGAAAAGACAGGCAGCATGGGCCAGACGGGAAGTGTCTTCATCAGAACATAATTGTGGGATTAAGAAGATAAATAAGGTGCTCTGCAACAGAGAGGAGGAATAAGCTTTGGTTTCTGTAGCACTAATGGTTATAATAATCTACAAGATATTTTAAAGTGACAAGGAAAAAAATAAAAATTCCAAATTTTTATTACTTAGAAATGGTAATTGTTTGAGGAGATGGAAGTGCTTAGTACTCTGATTTGATCATTTCACAGTGTATGCAGGAACTGAATTTTCCTGCTCTACCCCATAAAGATGTGCAGATATTGTGTCTAGGGTCTTTTCTGTGCACTTGCTCATGCTTATGTGTGGATGTGTGTGCATGTGTGTACATATGAGTGGAGGCTGGAGTTTGGTGTTAGGTGTCTTCTGTAATTGATCCCCACCTTATATTTTGATACTGGGTCTCTTGCTGAACTTGGGGCGCTCTGATTTGGCTTGACTGGCTAGTCAGCAAGCTCCACAGATCTTCTTGTTTCTGTTTCTCCATCACTGAGATTACAGCAACACTTTTTTTCTTTTTGTTTGTTTTTTAACATGGGTTCTGGGGATCAAACTCGGTTTTAATACTTAGGCAAGCACTTGGCCCATTGTCTCCCTGGCTACTAACTGTTTTTAAAAAGTTTGAAAATCAGAAAGATGATGGATTTCAGGGGGGTGATGAAGCAAAGGAAAAACAAACAATTAATTTGAAATGAACAAGAGGTATGCTCTAAAAATAACCCAGGACCCAAATATTCTGTCAGTAACAAAACCTATCATGGAAACTGGGTTGTTTCCCACCTCTCACCAAATACTGTGCCTCATTTCTTCGGGCAGAGCCAAGGAAGCAGGCTAGCCTAAGGGTTAAGGGAAAGTCATTTAACCTCTTAGCCCTCAGATTTCACCTATATAAAGGGAGTTAGTTATAGTTTCTATCCCAAGGGGCTGTTTGAAGGCTGAAAGAAGATAATGCATGCTAAGTACTTGTTACAGTGATTGGCTAGCGGCAAGCACTCAACACATGTCGGCTCTGATCAGCATTTGAGACTCTTCATGGCTGCAACAGAAAGCAGTGACCATTTATAAAAAGTATGAGGTAAACACAGTCTTTTCAGGGGAATGTCTAGACCTGTGAACCAAGGATCACCTGAAATCTCTGGTTTTCTGCTCACTGGGGTATTCTGTTTCCCTACATAGGCAAGAGCAAAGAAAATGCCCCTCTAATGCTTTTCTGATGTCAGAAAGATGCAACACATAGGGAGATCATTGCTGTCCATAGAAGCTCTTATAAAAATGGGGATGCTGTGGATGATAGCAAAAAGTCAAACAGTGAAAAACATCTTGTTTTTATGAAGTTTCTGGTCTGAATGCATGAGAACATAATTCTAAGTTAACTGATCTCGTTTGGAAGATCCATTTGTGAAACATAACACTTGTCTTTTAGGACAAAGGATGCAAAAGGGAGCAGGAAACCTAAATATCTCCAGAGGGAACGTTTTTTCTTGTTAGACAATGTATACAGAGTACAGCTAAAAGCCTTCCTAATGATAGTGCTGGGGAATGGAGCCTACACCGGTGTGATAAGTTATGTACTTTATATTTGACTGTACGATTGCAGTGATTTGTGGGACATGATTTGATCCATGGTATTTCCAAATCCACCTCATAATGAGTTCAACTCAGCAGCTTCTGCTCTGTAAGCATGTCAAAGCTCAGGATGGTGGGGAACAGTATATTTAGTAAGACAGATGATTATGAGGAGAAAAACTAGGCACATGTCGCTGTAAGGTACTGATGATTAGAATAAGAACAGATTTTCTTCCATTTTGAGAAAAGGTAAAATTAATTCTAGCAGAAAGAATGGCAACCACATTGAGGAGGGGGATTAGGTAGGGGAGAGGATGAAGAAACGTACAATGGTTATACAGGTAGATATTAAACCATGATAGTGCTTTTAAGCTTATATCAAGGCCATATTTGAATTGGTGTTGTCCTTCAAAATTACCTTGAAAGCGTGTATCTGTATTCGAGGGATGTTGCCACTGCTCAAAAACATCTTGGGCACTGCTCTTGGGATTTTTTCTTGTTACTCTTTGTAGTCTGGCTGCAGTTATGGTAATTTTATAATGATGACAGATCATTACCTTACTTCTATCGCTTTGCATATTTGCAAATGGGCAGAAGAAATGTCATTCATGGACACACATCTTCCTGATGCCAGCCTTTTTAGACCTGTGGTGTAGCCAGCGAGCCAGTGCAGAAGGACTGCTGAGGGCTGGGAGCAATCTGACTGTAGTTCCTTGGTCTCCGTGCTCAGCTCTAGCTCCCGACTCACAGGTACCAGGGCACACAATTAAGATTAAAGTCTTTCTTATAAAGTGATTCTGACAGGACAGTGACCATAGGCAAAGAAAGCACAGTTCCAGGCAAGCCCTAAAGAAGATTCCCTGTCATAAGAGCAACAAAGTGCTGCTTTTGGCTCATCTGATGGGACACAGGTGCTGCTTTGATTAAACAGAACACTTTGTGGTCATATTTCTTATAAAGTGGTTGTGTCTGTTTTGTTAGACACAGGTTGAACCGATGAGGAGTGCTACTGAAATTCTGTTTGTTCAGCTGGACTTTGGAGGTATGTTCAGTTTTTCTCAAAACATCTCTCAGCCAACCCAGATTTGTTGGGCCTACTCGGTGTTAGGCATGGTGCAAGGTTCAGGAAGCAATGATGTATAAGATAGGCATGAACCCTGCTTGGTTATAGTAAAGACTGAAAAATAATCACAGGGATGTCTCAAGAGTCATGGGAATACATTTCAAGCACATAAAGGGTCTAGGAGTCAGAGAAGAGTTCTTTAACAAGCTAAGAAAAAGTGGTGTTTAGAGGCATGCAAGGTAAAGGAAGAACACTGATGTGGAGAGAGTTGAAGATGCAGTCTGGACGTAAGGAATTCTAGCTTGGCACATCTGGAAAGGAGAGCAGAAGGGAGCAAACGGAGTCAACGTCTTACTTGCTTTCAATCCCCTAGTGATAAGAGAGAACTTACTGGACTGAGGAGAGAGAGAGAGAGAGAGAGAGAGAGAGAGAGAGAGAGAGAGAGAGAGAGGAGAGAGAGAGAGAAGCGCTCTTCTCTTTTTGTATTTATTTCTTCTATCTCTATGTCTCATCTCCCAGGAGGGAGGGCTGCAGCACACCAGAAGTTCTCCATCCTCCATGCATGAGACCCCACAGTCCCAAAGAATAAAAGACGAGCCTTTGGAGGCAGCACCCACACTTCTCCCTTCCTCCATGTTAATTAAATCCATTTGTCCCAGGTCCTGGAGCCTGGGGACATCCATGGGCTTTGATTTTTAACCCACAAACATCTGAAGGAGCGGGTGGCCACTGCTTAGAGTTAGGACAGTGCCTTCTTGCAGTGACAGCAGAGCTTCCATTAGGAACAGCAGAATATGAGGTTTGGAAGAGGAATTTGAAGCCAGGCTTAATACCTATAAGCCTTATGACAACAGGTACCATTTTCTACCCTGCTTTTAGCTTTTGTTCCTCATATTTCAAAGGTGGATCCACCAGGATGCAACACGAACATGTTTTAGGAGACTAATGTGAAAGCTGCTTCAGATGGTGGAATTTGATGTTTAGCCTTTTAACAGACGGTTTTCCCCTTCTAGCCCCTCTGTAGGAATGATCCTGTCTCCCTTTTTGGTATGGAGCATACCAGTACCGCCCATGGAGTGTTCAGTATGGCACAGCAGAGTGTCACATGAGTGCTGCTGTGCTGGGCCATCTTCACTCAGCACTGCTTGTTCCAGACTGAATGCAGGTGGCAGAGTAGAGCCATCCTGGGAAGACAAGTGGCAGCTGAACTCCATAGGCGTCTGCTCCATTCCAGTGCCACGCAGAGATGAAGATCTGGTAGCCCAACCCTCTCTGTTTAGAGGTGAGGAAACCGAGGCTCAAAGTATCCAGTAGGAACCAGTACACCTGGCAGAAGTACTTTTCTGCTTAGTGAAGAGCCTGGCATCTAATGTCAACTCACCTTGGGGCCTGACTCAACAGAGTAGTGGACTCAGAGTCGGGCCTGGATGCCAATCCTGACTCCGAGGCCTACTTGTGGGGGGTACTTTACCCCTTTGATTTTTAGGAATAATGAAAAGGCTTTTCTCATCCACTATGGTTTTGTTATTAATAAGGAAACATAAAATGTCAAACGGGAAAGTAAGGTGAAATCTATCAAGTAAGAGAAAATGCCATATAGACGGGTACGAAACCTGATTATTATTTGGGAGCACTGAGTGGCTCTCTTTCAGCTCTTCCCACAGACAGATCCTGGAGGCAGCTAATCAGGCCAGGTAAGAGATATAGGAGATGAACACTTATTAGCACAAAATCCTTTGGAGAGTCTCTTGCTCCTGATAACCAGCAGAAGGGGTGCCTGATTGTGTGTGAACCTGTTTGTGATGCTTAATACTGACTGTCAACTTGACAGATTCTAGGATCATTTAGGAGACAATCCTCTGGGCAGGTCAGTGAACTTTTAGGTTGGGTTAATTGAGGTGGAAAGGCCCACCCTAAATGTGGACAGTACCGTTCCATGAGCTGAGGTCCTGGACTAAAGAAAAAAGAGAAAGCAGGCTGAGCAAACCGCTCTACTCACACACTGTGGATTTGTTTGATGAGCTGTTCCGTACCTCTGTATGTCCCACACCTCCAACTGTGAGCCCAAATAAACTCTTCTTTCCTAAGTTGCTGTTGTTGGGTATTTTGTCACAGCAATGAGAAGTAACTAATACAGTGTCTTGGATAAAGGATTTGGGGACAGGGAAACCTGCCTGCTTCAGCATTGTGCCTTGTAGAGTAAAAAGTAGCTAGCTCACCTGTCAGACACATCGAGAAGAGACAATACTGTCCACTGCCATAGGCTCAAGCCTTCATTTGAGGCATCATTGGTGGCAACATGCCAGACCATCCGACTTTGCTCCTTTCCGGTTTTGTTCTCCACCAGCACCAAGGACACATTTCCTCTCAAAACTCCACGGATGAGCCAGGACATCCGGAGCTGTCAGGGAGAGAAGGGTCAGAGGACAAAGTGTTAGTATTGAAAGGAAATCTCAAGTTCCCTTCTTGGAATTCTCAGTGAAAGCCTAAGGGATGTTGCTGGAGGCTCAGGTGAGGTTGGTCCAGTGAGAACAGCAGGATCTTCACTATATCTTGCTCACTTTTGCCCAAAAGGTCTTTATTGAAGTTCAAGGAGCTGAAGAGGGGTGGGGGGCCCACCAGTGAGTAATTCTGAATCTTTGTTCCGGTTGCTGATATTCCAACTTTTCCTCTGAGGTAATTCAGTCAGTGGGGTTATTTAATGAACTTCCCTAAGTATAGCCAAATAGTTTTGTACACGGTCTCAATATACTTTGTGACTTTATGCAGATGATTTTTTTCATTCAATTTCTTTTAGTGGATTTGGGTTTAATAGATTTTTATTCTTTCTAATAATTATAATCTTAATTGAACAGGGCCAAACCACATGTAAGCTAATGGGTGAGTTTATGACTTGGTAGGCAACACACACACAGGCACAGACACAGATACAATCTCTCTCTCTCTCTTTCTCTCATTGTGATCTCTTAATATTGTTGTCTTCCAAAATGAAGCCACAAGCGTATGTTTTCATTACATCTTTATGAAAGGTTTCTATGGCATCATTCCCTAGACACTTGAAAGAGAATTGTAACTCATAATCTTTCTAAGAAAGTTTAAATGCAGTCTTGTTCAGAGGCAGTACATGCTACAAACTGATGTTTAAGATACTAGAATTGTGTTTGATGGTAATAATCTATAAGCAACATCTAAAGCTTAAGAGAATTACAGTCATGTTCAGATTCTATAATAAAAAAAGTAGTGTAGAAACAAAGGCAAAATTTAGCTTGTAGCAGGCTGGAGATCTCATTAACTACAGTACCCATGTTCTTGGATTCTCATGCTTTGAAGAGGTGCTCCTTTGTGTCCCTAGTCTTCCAATCCCTGATTGATGGCTGCCTTATAACTTGATTGAAGAGGTTAAGTACCAACAGCCACAGCAGCTTGAGACTTCATACTCTCTTATGTACAAGGCCATGCCTGGACCCTAGGCCCCAATCTAGTGAGCCTGATCTAAAACGACAACCTCTTCACATCTGTCTTTCCCATTTTCTCATATCCAGTGGAGCAAACATTTACGTCCATTGAAAGCCCCCATAGTAGCTGAATGAATCTGTCAATGCTTTTTATCCCCCTTCTTGGATTTTTGCGTGTGACTGTTTGGATGCCATGGGAGGCAGAGGCAGGCAGATCTCTGTGAGTTCGAGGCCAGCCTGGTCTACATAGCAAGTTCCAGGTCAGCTGGGGCTACAGGGAGACCCTGTCTCAAAAAGAACCCCCCAATTTTTTTTTTTTTAAATTCCACCTTTGCTAACACTAAATTGTCTCAGCCTGCAATACACACCATGCAGTGTACACACCATGCATGTCCTGTCTGGGATGATATCTGACACATGCCTTATCTGCTTTTGCTCCTTGGCTGCAGAACAGTGTGGATTTGGAATTCAATAAATTCATACAATTGAACCTCAGTGCCCGAGATGATTTGGTGGTACTTAATCATTCTCTGAGGATTTCCATATCTGATTTTTTTTGGACATAGGTAGCATGATGGGCATTTCAAATTCTCCTTTGGTCAGTGATACTGCATCCCCTGGTCCCCAGTTCCTGATCCAGTGATTTGAACTCCACGTTAGGGAGACAGTTCTACAACAGAAGGCACAATCTGTCCTTCTCTCCTCCATTTTTCAGCTAAGTGCTTGCTTACTTATCCTTTCTCTTCTGTCCTGGAGGGAGAGGCCTCCTTCATTTCCTTCTGCTATGCCTCTGCCCATTCCATCTCCCCCAAGCCCTCGTCCGTTCAGTTACTTTCCTCCGTTCCCTAGCGTCTTGGGTCTTTCTACCTTCTGGTTCCTCCACATACAAAGATCAGATCCCACTCATTCTGGAAAAATATCAGATACCAATTCGACCTTTGTAGCCCTTTTAGCTTGCAACCCATTTCTGTACCTCCATTTAGATGTTCATGTATTGGGCAACTGGTACGTAAATGATGCTTCCATCCCCTCCACCCCAGCTCTTTTTTGTGCTAGGGATAGAACCCAAAGCCTCGTATGTACTATGTAAGCACTCTACCACTGAGCTACACTCTCATCCATTCTTTAAAACTTTCTTTCAGCCTGGCTTCCATTTCACAATTATTCTAATAATAGAAGTCTCACTATCTCCTTTATAACTTATTCTCTGTGTTCATGGGCTCCTAAAGCACCTTTTCCTCTCTCTTTCTCCGTTCTGTAATCTCCTGTGCATCTCTGTCACATTTACCTGTTTGTTGCTGACATCTGTGACTCAGCTCAACAACCTTCAGTGGTTTCTTGTTCCCTATTGGAAAAATCAAGGCAGTCATACACCTCTATGATCTAAGGAAGGCAACATTTTAGTCATTCAACGAATATTGATCAAGTAGTCAAGTTGAGTCTCATGTATGTGACAGAGATACCTGAGAGATTTCTCCGTCTTCCTGCACTTTATTTTAGGTCAGCCAGGGCAGTGGAGAGAAATAGGGGGCTCAGAGAGAGAAGAGTGATAAGAAGACAGAGGAGTGAGAAAGGAGAGAGAAGACAAGAAAGAGGAGACAGGAGAGAGAGACCTGGGTTGTCCTAAGGCTTCTCAGCCTCTTGAGGAGGGATGTTAGGATCCTTCTCGGTATCAGTTTTTGGGAGACTTGATCATTTATTTATTCACTCACAAGTAGTTATAGTATACATACTTTGTGGTTTATTCTATACATCTCTTTCCTGCCCTTATGGAATTTTTGATCTAACTAGGAAGTTAGAATTAAAAAAATATAACCAATTTCAAATGCGCTGTAGAGCCACTTTATAGTCAAGACAGAGATACAAGACAAAACAAGACACTTAACAGTGTCAAGATTTAGGTCACGACAGCCACTTGCCCCAATAGTTCAGCACTGTGGATAAATTAGAGAATTAAAAAAATGTTTCTTTCATCTTACAATGGTACTACCCACATTTACAACAGAAAGCACACACAGTCATAATGCAAGCCAAGGCACATTCTGAGTTTCAATAGTGTCTTGTTTTAGAAATAGATGAAGAAGTTAGAATAAGATGGAAAACTGATAGTCAGTAAATGGCTGGCAAATGTGTTTGGTGTGATTCATGTTTTGATCCCTGAGTCAGTAAAGTGATGCACCCAGGCAGATATTCTTCCTGAGATAAAGCAGCTTAAAATCTACCATCTTCCCCCAGGTCTGCTTCTTATCTTCATTTATATCCCTGTGACTTCCAGATTCTTCCTCTGAGCCAGTCAATATTTTTCTGTTCAGAGTCTGGTCTTCAACACCAGTATCTGTTGGTTACCGGGGACCTTGTTAGAAAGACAGAATCTCTGGATTGGTCACATATCTATTGAAACAGACTCTACAGAGAGGCACTGAGTTACAGGGCAGCCTCTGAGGCTCTGCCCTGGCACTTTATGACTCATTTACTGCCTTTCCAGAATGCATTGGAAGCAACTGCCCTTTACATCAGCACTGACTCTCCAGGGGCTCTTCAAACCATTCTCATTTCCTGGCTTGTCGACTATGGATGCACTAAGTGTCTGTACTCCATGACTATAGTGCATTAACTGCGTGATCTCAAGCCTCTTGCTCACCTCCCTGAGCCTCTACTTTCTTGTGACCATAGCTGTACTTTCTCTTCTTACCTTCAAAGGTGGCTACAGAGACTGAGTCAGATGGAATTGTGACACTGTGAATGACATGTGAAACTTGTGATTTTCAACCTGGGCCGAAAACTAGACTTATCTAGGGAGTTTGCCAAATTGCCAGTGTCTGGCCTCCACTTGAGAAATTCTGATTTAAGCAGTCTAGGTAGGTTCTGGGCATCAGCAGTCCTTAAAAATCCCTCCAGGTGACTCTGAAGTATAGCCTGGGTTGAGACTGCTGGGGAGAGGGGACTACTTAGTGCAGGAAGTGGACTGGCTCTCTCAGTGAGGGGTCCATTTTCACCTTGGACTTGTAGTAAGAAATGATTCTTGATCATTAAGAAATGGCCTTAACTGGGCCCACTTGTCACCAAGATGTAATGGGGGTGACTCTCCTGCAGGGGGAGGATACAGCCCTCAACACAGGCTTTCATGGGGTCGCTGTATTATCCCTAGGGAAAGACTGAGATCAACTCAGGGAGTGAGAGTCCCCAGGAATGATGCTGGGCAGGAATAACCTGAGACAGAGCTCCCCTTGGACCTGCAGTTTAAGAGTCTTGCCAATTGCTTGGTGTGTGTGTGTGTGTGTGTGTGTGTGTGTGTGTGTGTATACAGGTACACATGTGTGCATGGGTGAGGGTGCATATGTATGCACATGCATGTGGAGATCAGAGGACAACCCTGAGTGTTGTTTATCAGGTGCTCTCCATCCACCAACTTTTTTTTGAGACAGAGTTTCTCACTGGCTTGATACTCACCAAGCAGGTGAGCTGACTAGCCAGCAAACCCCAGGGATCTTCCTGTTGGGTATCTCCATTGTTGGGATTACAAATACAGACCACCAATTCTGTCTTTTTAAAAATGTGAGTTCTGGGGATCAAATTCAGGTCCTCAATGCTTACAAGGCAAGTACTTTATCAATGGAGCCATCTCTCCAATATGCCAACTTTTTAATTACAAAAACTTGAAGACTGATGTCAAGTTTTACTGAGTATCCCATTTAGTTACTTGTATCTAAAACCACTGTGTTTCCTAAAGCAAACTGTAGGCTTAAGTCACTCCTAATGACTTCCATCTCCTTTATCTAGTCCTAATGAGCCCCTTTGATGTTATTCTATATAGATCCCTATGCCAAGTGTACCCAGTTTGATCTTGACAGCAAAGTCCCAGTGCCCATGATAGGCACAAGACATCCTTGGAATCCAATTTTGATACCTGTTTCTCTCTGGGTGGTCTATAAGGTATGAAGTAATT